TTCACATCGAATCATTGAGTAAATCAAATCTGATTTTATGGTTGACCAGGGAAAAATCTCGTTGAATTCGCGTTTCGTCAAAATTCTCAATACAAATTGTCGTCAATTTTAGTCATTCTTTTTTTTTTTTGATTTACCTAAACATTGTTTCGCGATATTTAAAATCGAAATGTCTAATCTCTGGCTTGTGATATAAAAAAAGAAAAGAAAAAAAAATTCGAAACGAACACGATCGAATCGTAAAAAAAATTTATTACGACGAATAAATTCATCCTTTCATCATCCCCTTAATTTTATTTTTATTTATCATACGTATATACCTACCCTTACGAAGAACGCAAATTTTATACACCCCTCGATAATTATTTAGGCGAGTATCTAATTATTAAGGCACGTTAAGGAAATTTGATTTTGATTTTGATAAATTTACGAACGTCGTAAACAACATCCGCGTATGCTTCCTTCGGGTTTCTTAATCTCGAAAAATTCATCGAATTTCGAATTTTCATAGAGAAACGGCACATTTCTCGATTAAAAATAAATTCGAGAAAATAAATACGCCCGAAATGGGGTTAAATGAAAAAAAAAAAAGAACAAAATATAATACACAAAAGTCTAATCGGCAAGGACGATGCAGAAAATTCGTTCAACATTTTATTTTATTTCGCTTATCGAGAAAAAAGGAAAGAAAAAAATAACGGAACCAATAATCGAGAGCTAACTTTTTCCAAATATATTCTAATAAATAAAAAAAAGAAATAAATCTTCGCGAAATTCGCGTATGCAAGATATTTTTTCGCATCTTTTTCTTAGATTTTCTAAGAAAAATATTTACTTCGAAATATAGTTTTTTCAAGTAAAGTGTTATATAAGAGAAAACCAAAAAAAAAAATTCGATCGATAATTCCTCATTCTATCGATATGCGAGTGTGAAAGTAAAAACGCATAAGTTTATTTTTCTCCTTTCATTAGATTAAATTCTAAATTTGATTTGATTTGATTTGATCGAAATACGAGTGTCAAAATTGAAACTCTTATTGAAGTAATATGTCTCTCTCATATTTAAATGTGTGTATATAATAGTAAGAGTAATAATTGTAGTAATATTAATAGTAATAGTAATAGTAGTAATAGTAATAGTAATAGTAGTAATAATAATAGTAATAATAATAATAACGGAACTAATAATAATAACTATAATAGCTCTAGAAAAATTCCTCGTTCACCTTCATTCGATTCAGATCTATGAAAACCTCACTGCATTCTCGTCTACGGTTTTTTTTCTTTTTCTTTTATATCTTCTATTTTTTTTTTTTTTTTTTAATTCCTACAATATTTCATCTCACACATTTCGCGTAAAAATCATCTAAACACAAAGTAAAAACGCAAAAAAGACAAATGGAAATAAAGAAGTGTGTTGTGAAAGAAAATGATGGAAAATGGTGACGGGCGAGGAAGGGGAAGGGGGAGGGGGTGGGATAGGGGTAGAGAAGAACAAGAAAACAAAAACGAGGAAGATAAATAAATTCTAAACAAATGTAAAAACGCGGCCAATTTATATGACTGACGATTCAAATCCGCGATAATTAAACCTAACGATCGTTAAGTCGACGGAGCCGCAAATATAATAATAATATTAACAATAATAATAATAATAAGAAGAAGAAGAATAAGTAGAAGAATATTAATAATAATAATAATAATAAAAATAATAATCTAATTAAGTAATTATTACATGATGAACATCGAAAATAATGAAAATAAAATTTGGATTCGTTTGTTTAAGTTTGAAAATGTACGAGACGAGTTAAAAAAAAGAATTTGTTTTCGCGAATCGATAAAATTAATCGCGTCGAACTCCTTCGATTATCGATCTAAACTCTCGAAATTAAAATGTTCGTATATTTTCAAATGATTTCTATATACGAAAGTTCGAGGAACGGGTTGTGTTTAATTTGAAAGGATGGGAAAGTAAATAGGAAAAAAAGGAAGGAAATAAAAAATCTTAAAAATCTTTTGCTAAATAAAAAGAAAAAGAAAAAAGAAATGAAAAAGAAAACAACTCCTATTCCATAGCAGCTTCTTGTAAATTGTGTAGGTGAGCGTAAAGGCCATCTGCTGCGATTAAATCGTCGTGAGTACCCATTTCTGCTACGGTGCCCTTTTCAAGGACACATATTACATCTGCATTTCTTACGGTAGCAAGACGATGAGCTATGGTGATACAAGTTCTACCCTCCATCGCTTTGTCAAGTGCTGCTTGTACCACCTGCGAACATAACAAATATAACATATATTAGGTCTACCGGAAAGTTTTGTCCGATTTTTTCTCATCAAGTTTCAATCGATATAAACATGTTTATTTGAGTCATATATGACTATTTCTCGTTGTCATTGCATTTATACACATGTACTCTCCTAAATAAACTGAAAAAAAACCTTCTTATGTCATTGGGCAGAGAGAGGCGATCGTTAAAACATGACTACGAAAAAGTTCATTTACGTCACTGTACTTTGTACGAGCTCCAACAAG